AAACAGTCAGAAGCATAGAACATGTTTGGAGGACAATGGCAGCCGAGAGATGTTACATCTGCGGGCACTGCAACGACTGCGTTGTGAATCTCGAGTATGAGCATCCTGCTGACTGGCTGGAAGATCTTTCTGCGTTCACAGAGATGCTGGAACTTAGGTCGTGTCCGTGGAGGTGCCCAGATAAAGATCGACCGCAGTAGCCGGATTGCTGCAGTAGTAAAAGCGGCAAACATGCCACATCTGCAGCATCATGGTACCGACCTTTGCTTGGACGCAGCTTGTGGGAGCTGGAAGGCTTGCGTACCGAGTGGCACTGAGTGCAACTGGCGCAAATTAATCTGTAGCACTGTTCGTCTGGAGAGACTGTTCGTGACGAACATACAAAACCAGTATGTTCGTCTGGAGAGACTGTTCGTGACGAACATGCAAAACCAGTAGCCAACTGTTGTTTGTCTGTAAAGTTTTTTTTCCATCCTGTAGGGACATCGGAGAAATGCAGTGAAACAGGTGTTATCCTTGCCATCATGATATCGAACTTGCTATCATTCACAGCATTCTTGCACGGAGTTCTAGTTTCTTACGGAGCCTTTGTTTGTGTACTTTTGCATTTTGTAGCATTTCCATTGCGACTATGTTTGCCCACCTTTGTTTGCAACTAAGGTCATCCACGGCACCATGGTGCCGAGCTTCTTTTGTATCTCAAAGGTCTTTGTGTGGAAATGCGTCTGACCTCTCTCTCTCTCTCTTTATCTCTTCCCCCTCTTTCTCTCTGTGGTTCCACGACACATGTCATCTGATGCCCTTTACCAATATTCTCTTCTTGATCAATCTTACTTTTTTACATCATGTCTTTCCATAGCTCATATAAAATTCACCAATAAAATTCACCAACTATTCACCGACTATCTTTTACGACTACCATACTCAGAGCTGCTTGAAACACATCTTTTTCGCTCTCGGGCCAACCGTCGTCTAGTTTTGGTGCTGTTTTTTGTTTGCCTCGTTTCCGCTGGCGAAACGCAAGTCTGGCTGGGGGATTTGCGGGTCGTCGCCTTTTGTGTGGTTGTGGTTTTTGTGGGTTTTATCGATCTGCTGATTTCAAGGACTTATGTCCTTGTACAGAGTTTTAGCTGCTTACTCTCATGTAAGGACCGAGCCTTTAGCGCGACATCGGCCAATCTCGAGGAACAAAAAAAATTGAAATCGCTGATGGGAAGAATTTGAAGATTGAGAGCACAGTGCGCCCAGGTCTCGCAGCCCCACAAAGCTGGAGGCAAACATCCAAGATTTATAAACATCCATCCCATACCAATATTTATAGAAAGCTCCAATGAGGGTGATGAATTGTCTGACAGGACATCGCATTCAAAGGTTGTTCCAAGTGTACATGGTCCTGCTTGAAAAACCATTGTTAAAATTGTAACACAGCGAAAGAGCATCATGAAGCTGTCCTGAACTTTTTGAAGTTCCCGCAAAGTGAGATCCGGACGGCCTTGTTAATTTTCAATGCATCATCTTGAAAAAAGATTCAATGTTGAGTTCAGAAAAATATCAAATGATAACGTTGGGTGACCCTGATCCACTCGCTCATGCTGGTGGGACGTGTGACGCCTGAACAGGAACTGAGGCAGTAGCCAGTGAGGCCGTGACTGGAAGTTGGTTGTCGGCCTGAAGGGGTGTCTTATCCAATGTCCTTTGCCGGCAAAGACCGAGAGAAAAAAATTCCATAGATTGATGGGAGTGTTGGACTTTCTCAACCAGTTGCATCAAAGCATCAAGTTCCAGATCAACTTTGGATTCCGTAACAGTAGAAACCTCTGCTAAGGCCTGATTCTCTGTCAGTGAGGGGTGGCAAAGTGAGATATGGCGCCATGGTTTTTTCCACATGTGAAAATATGACATCTGTGAGGAGATGTCCGACATCTGTGGTGAGATGAATCCATTGGTCTTTTCTGCATTGGAAGAAGTGAATTTGGTTTTCATCTTGATGATGAGCTCAACCGTGATGGTTGACATCGTATTTGCACGTTTCATGTTTTGCACGTTTTATTGGAGATGACGAAACCCAACAACGATATACTTTTCGTCTTCTTTGAGTACTTTGATTGCACGGAGAACATTGTGAAGATTTGAATTTGTATAGTGACATGGAAAATCAAACCATTTTCCATATGTTTTGCTTTAGTTTCGCCGGCAGAATGATTGCAGAATCATCGCAGAAGTGCACGAAGGAATCGTGAGAAGATCGTAGAATTCATTTTTGTGACTTCGGAAGAAGGAACTTTGTTTGACATTGATTGGAGAAGAGTAGTGTGTTTTGTCTCTCAATGATGATAGCGAGAGCAACGTTCTGAAAGGCATTCAGAACTGGAGTTGCTAACAGATCTGAGGGAGACATCATGAATCATGTTTTGGTGCTTGAAATGTTTCAACGTTTTTCAAACACTCAAACTTATTTAAACAAACAAACCATGTCTTGATGTAAAGACTTTTTGTGAGGACATGTGTTTTTTGATCGCTTTTGTGAGAGTTAGCAGAAAGATGCTGACTGGCGACTCCGCGTCATTTTTGTGTCAAGGCGTGACACACCAACAAGAACCATAGCGACATGAGCAGACATTTCTGTGCTTGTGTGTTTGGTAAAAGTGGCTGAGCTCTGGGAGTGGTTGACTTGGTAGCGTGGACGGTTCTAGTGAGTTAAGGACGACGTCCTGGACGCTGACCCAAGGGTTTTGAAGGTTGCGGTACCTTCTGCATGGTAGCGGAGCTGCCTGCTTGCTGCGCGTAAGTAGGAATGGATTCAGGTAGTGCGAGTCAAGGTGTGCAAGGTTGTCCTAGTCCTGGTATGGCTGAAAGAGGTGAAGGAAGTGGTACCGGAAATGGTGGTTGTAACCGTAGTGACGGATTGCCGCCAGTGCCAGGAACGCCTAGTCAGCAAGGTAGTGGATCTGGGATGGATGGACAAACACCTGAAGTAAGTAACATGCCCCAGCAGCAGCCACAGCAACAACAAGCAAATGTGTCACAGAACGTACAGGGATTTGCGAGCACGACAAACCTGGATGCAGGTGGTCAGGTAGGTCCGGTGCAGGGATGTCAGCAAGGAAATGTCCCCGGAATGCAAGGACTGGGACCAGCATGGTTTGGTGCGCAATGGATTCCCCAACAACAAACGTTTATGCAACAGAATTCGCAAGTGCGTGTGCCAAGTTATGGTTGTGCGAGTATGCCTGGTGGACCAAGGTCTGGAGATTTTCCAAACTTAGGAGTGAACCCAATGAGTTGCCAAGGAAACATGCCGAGTGGCCCGGTTGGAGCGAGCTTGGGAGGTTTGACGCCTCAGGCGGCGCAGATCCAAGAGGTCATGGCCATGTTAGGTAGCATGAGTGAGGGACAGCTACAGACAGTGCAGCAGCATATGCAAGATCGTTTTGTAACTATGCAACAGAGAAGAGGGGTTCCAGAAGTGTTTGGTGATGGTCTTGGTAGGGCAGCTGATTCGTCGTTTGTGACTCCGCAGCCATTTGATGTTTTGCCTGGTTTTGGTGTTCAACAATCAAATCATGGAAATTCACAGCAATTGGATGTCTTCGCCAAAAGCGAAAAATGGTTGACACCGGCACCAACACCAGTAGGAACTTGGAAGACAAGAGAAGAAGAGGTGTTAGGTTGGGCTGGCTATTTGGATGAGTTGTCATCCTGGGCAGCTGGTGGAAGTTTAGAATTTTCTGTAGAAATCCAGCATAGTAGCCGTTGGCCCGGTCCCATCAGATGGAGTGCTCTCAGTGGAGCACAACAGGCAAGGTCTCGAAGGCTTATGTCCATCTTAAAAGCTGCGTTTCACGACAACCCCAGGTGTGTGGCGTTGGTGAACGCTTTCAGTGAGGGTGTGGCATTACATGGAGTAGGATCTAGTGACAGAGTGGCAGTAGCAGTAAACCAACAAGCAAACGGGCTTGAACTGCTTAGGCAACTTACTCTTGAATTTTCTCTGAGGTCAAGATCCGAAGCGCTCTCACTAAGGACGCAGATTGCAGGGAAGTCCTTTGTCCTGGCGGCGACACAGACATCGCCGAGTTCCTTGGTTAGTGATACTATCAGAAGAATTGACTATGAAGCTGCAAGGTTCTCAAGGTTGCTAGGAACTCTCCCTATGCAGGTGGACACCACAGGACTGAAGCTGGCAGATTCTGACATGCTAGTTGTTCTGTTGAAAAGTTTGCCTGAGACGGTGAAGAATTATGTTCTCCATCACAGCGGCGCAGACAACTACGAGTCCTACAGGAACGCTGCGATGCGTTGGGAAGAGCAACAACGCCTGTTTAGCGATTTTGGGACAGCAGGCCCCAGCAAGAGATTGAGTTCCCTGGAGGGGAGTGTAGAACATCATTCTCTTGATGCCGAACTTGTAGATGCAGTGGAAGGCAGGTGCGGAAAGTGTGGCAGTCGGAAACACACTGCCCCAGGTTGTACCGCAGACATGAGCAAGATTCGGTGTTTTGAGTGCTGTCACGTAGTGAGAGCACAATCTTTGTAAGAACAGTGCAAAATTTCTTTAACAACAAATTTTGCAACTCAGGGCAAAACAATTTTTATAAGGGTCACATCTTGCGCAGCATGTGTTTTCTGAATAATAATTTTTAAATGGACAACTCGCACAACCAAAACAAAACAACACAACCTTCCCTTGGTCTCAATCATCAATTCTCGTTCTTGTTGCATTTTTCGTATCAAGGGTGAGGTAGAGGAGGGTTTAAAAAACCTTTCTTCCACAACCAATTTTTCTTTCGGCGTTAGGGGGTCAATGGACACGAGACAGATTGCTGCCCTTACCAATCACCACATCATCTCGCTGTTGTTTTTGATCCTTAGCGGAGTTGCACGTCGACTTGGTGTTCCTATCACTCTCACGCCTGGGTCCGGCCAGACATCAGACCCGGAGGCAGGTCAAGCAGAGGTTGATCAGTCTGCGGCAAGTGGTACAGGACCTACTTGTAGCTATGGCTGCGCTGTGCCTGGGTGCCATCAGTGGTGTCGTCATAATCACACACCTCACTGTAGGCATCGCTGCTTGGAACACAGCTGGGGATAACATGGTTGTGGAACACAAAGGTTTTCGCAGTAGATGGAGTATCAGTGCCGCTGCCGTGTCTGCCAGTGATTTGCAAGACGTTGACAGCGCGGGCCCTAATACAGATCTCGATTGCAGTTGGGAGCAAGTTGAATCACCTGACACTGAAAACTCGTTTGGCAATTTTGATAACACTGACACTTTGGATTCATCGATGGAAGCCCTGGATAGTCTTGATGTTTTGCCTTTACAGGAGCCACGTTTCATACACCCGAAGCCTAAGTCTGTTGCCACCAAACCTGCATCTTTGTCAGCTGAGAGCTTAGCAGTCAAATGCATTGCAGATGAGTTGGCATCAAGACATGTGCATAAGTCGACATCAGACTTGAAACAGCCTTGGCAGAAAGGACCTTTAGCATGTTTATTTTCCAGGCCGAAACCTTTTTGGGATCGATTGCAGTCTTTTCAACAGTTGCCGTTAGTTGGACTTGCTGATCACATCACGGCAAGCTCGACAGACAGTGCGGTGCCCATGCAAATTCAGCACACCGAACTTACTGTACAGTGCATCAAGTCATCACTTTTGATGTCATCAACAGACAACTTTCGACATGTTGCACTTGCCGAGTTTAAAACAATGGTTCTGTTAGACCTTGACTGCACTCGTCTTGGGCTGCCTTGGAGGAGCTTTGCGGGCACCCTTTGCTCAGGTTCAGAATTGTCTCAGGTCTTCATGGACGTTTTCTCGCCGAAGGCCACAGGTATGATCCTGAAGAGGTGCAATGCTTTGTGGCGTTTTTCATGCTGGCTTCAAACACTTGGAGGCGGTTCACCATTCAAACCAGATGAGAGGGTTGTCTACTCTTACATCGGTTGTTTGAGGGATCTGGGCGCAGGCCCTACAACACCTTCACAGCTTGTGGACGCTTTGAGATTTGCAGACGCTTTTATTGGGTTTGCATCTTCATCACTGACAAACATGCTCAGCCCAAGGGTGACAGGAGCAGCACATGCTTGCTACATGACCAAAAGGTTCAGGAAACCTGCAGAGGTGCTGAAAGTAGCCGAGACAGCTGCACTTCAAGACATATGCCTGAATGACCCTGATTTGCATCGTCGATTGATTGCTGGACATTTGATGTTTTGCTTCACTGCCACGGCAAGATGGCACGATTCAATGTATGTCATTTCAATGGATATATCAACCTCAGGTCCTGTCACCCTTCTTGAGGCAATGACTTCCAAGCACCAATCGTCGCGTGGAAAGGAGCAGCAAACGGAGCTTCAGCCTTTTACTGCGTTGGGCCATGTTACAATTGAGAACTCATGGGGCGACAGCTGGATTAAGTCGCGAGATGCTGCTGATGTGAGATCTTGGAATTACTACTTGAATTCCTGGTCTGAGAGCGAGCAAACTTGGACAGATTCTTGCATGTCCACGGCAGAGGCAACGGAGTGGCTTCGTGAGTTGTTGGATCCCCGAGTTGGAAGTGACAGAGCATCGTTCCTGACATTGCATGGATTGAAAGCAACCTTGTTGAGATGGGTGGCCAAAAGCACCCTTTTCACAGCGGATGAACAGCTGGCTTTGGGTCATCATGTGAACGCCCAATACAGATCAGCTATGATCCATTCAAGGAACAACCAAATTGATTTGTGCAAAAGGGTTTACTCCATGTTCACACGCATCAGGGATGGCACATTTGATCCCGATGCGACCAGGGTCGGCCGCTTGTTTCAGCTGGCCCTTGAAACAGCTCTTGAAAGAAATGATGGAAGCAGTGACAGCAGTTCCAGCGATTCAGATGATGCATCCTCAGCGGCTTCGTCAAATGGAGAGCACACCAGCTTGGGGCAAAAGACCACATACAGGCGCTTGGAGGCTGACGACGTCGAGGCAGACCAATATTGGGTCAACAAGAGCTCAAAGGTGGCTCACCTGCTTGCTGGAGAGGACGAGAAATTCTGGTGTGGCAGGAGCCCGTCAGCTTCTTTTAGCAGGGCCCCGCGGGATGATATATCCACTCCTGAAGTTGTGGTTTGCGCAAGCTGCTCCCACGCGTACCGTGCTGCAAGGAGAGACCTTTGAGTTCAACTTTGATTTCTGCCGATGCCAATTTGGCGACATGTCGGCGCTTGAGCACAAGGAGACCTGACAGTTCTTGCTGTCGAAGTATAAAAGATGTTCATGTTCTCGCAGTGGGTTGGTGAGCAAGTTTGATTGCCTTTAACATACACTTGATTTGCTCATCCAAGGTTTCCTTATTTTTCTGATTTAAGTTTGCATCATGTTGATAGCCACGGAAATCACGCAAGTCTGGATAGCAGAAACCACTTGGGACCCAATGCCTAGCATGCTCTCGTGCGGCAGAGGAATCATAACCAAGTGTCAAAAGCTTATTCAACTTCGTGGTGCATCCATTGGCTCATCAGCAACATGATTCAGAAATCAGCTGCTACAAAACCTTGTGAAGCCTCGTATTTCACACCCGCTTGACAGACATCATTTTAAGGTTTTGTGAAATATCAAACTGGAATTAACCAACTGGAAGTACATCAAGTTGACTAACATTTCTTTGTACACTTCCACGGCTTGTGACGGCACATGGCCATAGATTCTAAAGTTGCGTTTCAAAACCGAGCGTTGGAGCTGGGAATTGATCAGACAGAGGTTGACGCGCTTGAGATTGCAGGTATCAATAGTTATGCGACATACACATATTGCAGCACTTACCAACCTGGTCAGAATGATGGCACTGCACTGATAACATTTTTGACCAATACGTTTGGAAATGCACCTTCAGCGGCTTCAACAACTCGTTTCAGGCGACTGTTTTTCGAGGCACATGCGCTGTCTTTGGAGGACCTTAAGTCTCGGGCCGACAGGTCGGAGTCAAGTGAGGCAAGGATCATTCCACTTGCTGAGAAAATGGATCGAATACGTTTGCAGAAACAAAATTTGACAGGACTGAGTTTCACGCCGCAGAGCGAACCGTCTCACTCCCTCATAGATAGAGTTTGTCAACAGTTGGAAGACAATGTGATTACATACGTTGAGCTCAATCGATGTTCGTCCAGGCATGACGAAGCCTTGCACTCCAAGATTGATACCTCGTTGGCGCTTGACAATGCAGGAGGCTTGCGACTCAGCAAAAAGCAACGTCTTGAAGATGTGAATGTAACAGGGGAGCACAAGCTGCGACAAGCGTTTTTGAGGAGGTCACTGGCTTATGACTTGGCTGGCATAGCCGCCTTTGCTGTGCTTGACTTGTGGACGCAGAAACCTTTTGAAAAGATGAATGAAGCCCCGCTTTCAAACTACAGGCACATAAGTGTTGAGCAAGTGATCAATGCTGACAAGGCTTTGTGGGTCAAAGTATCTAACGATACCCGTGGCCGACTACAGCCGAAGACCGGAGCAGACAAACCCTTTGATGTGTCCTTCGACAAATTCGCAGAGCATCCAGAAGTCTTGCAGCATTTGACACCACTTCAAAGTGTGGGGGCTCACAAACAGGATACGTCCTCAACGTTTTCTGGTGGAAAGGGCAAAGGTAAAAATCATGGTGATGGAAAAGGAAAATCCTCCAAGGGCAAAGGCAAGAGCAACACCGGTATCGCTGTCCCTGATGATTGTGAGATTTTCGTAGATGGAAAGCAGCTCTGCAAACGATGGCAGGTTGGGCGTTGCACTGCAAAGATCAAACCTGGAAAACGTTGCATGGTTGGGTACCACATATGCTGGAAGAAGTCATGTCACAAACTTCACCCGGGCAACGAGTGCCCCCACTGACTTGGTAAGGTGCCCAGCAATAGCAGTTTCACTTTGGAACCAACAACGTTTGAAATCTGCTGTGGCTCAGCAGGATTGTCGGACGCATCAAGGCGCCTCAGACTTCATGTTTACCCGGTTGATCATTCAGCAAATAGGCATTTACCTAAGGTCAAAGTCTTTGTTCTGGATGTTTCGAATTCAGACCAGTTGATGCTGCTCGAAACAATGCCGCATCACTGCAAGCCGTGTCACGTCCATTTGGGCCTCCTTTGTGGTACATGTTCCCGAGCCAGAGAGAAACCTATGCCGTCCAAACTTGGAGGTCATATGGGACCGCAACCTGGGCGCAGTGCTGAGCATCTTAAGGGCTTTTCCCACCTAACGGGTGCTGACAAAACCAAAGTTAACCTTGCAAATAAACTGTACAATTCAGCCATCAAAATTTTGCAACTTTGAATGATGGAGGGACGCTTGGTTTCAATGAAAACCCTCGGCCTTGGCTTTGGGCGCTTCTTGCAGTTTTTGGTAAAAGATACCAACAATCAACCATTCATTTCATTGTTTGCCAATTTGGAGAGCATCTACTTTGACGCATGTGCCCATGGTAGTTTGAGAGACAAAAGAACCAAATTGCCGGCGACTCAGGGCGTCTTCACATCATTGGCGGCCCACTGCCCCCAAAACCATGTGCATGCGTCATGGCAACCTTACAAGAGCGAGCAGGGTGTCACATTTCCCGCAGCAGCAGAGGCAGAATATCCAAGCACCTTATGCAAGCGCATGGCAGATTGCGTACTGGAGGCATCAGCTCACATGGGTGACCATCAGACACCATCTTTAAAACTCAAAGATCTTCTCCGTTTGGGCTTAAGTCAACAAAGTATTAGACTCATCCCACTGGTGCCTGATTACGAGGAGTTTTACACCTCAATGGCTTTTCACACAAGTTGCTGGCTGCTCCACCACATCATGGGGAAACCAACACTGAGCAGCAGCAGGATCTTGAAACAAGGCCCGTCAAAAAGGCCCAGAACTACTTTCAAGTATGGCGTTTGGCAAGTTTGGCGTTTGGCATGAACCGGAAGAGTTTCTCAAGAGAGCTCAGGAGGCAAAACACCCTATCGACCAAGATTCTTTTCAGCATCAAATTACAAAAGACGCCATCGTGCAGGTCGTTGGAACTTGCTCGACGAAGCTGGCCAAAGATTCTGCATCAAATTACAAAAGACGCCATCGTACAGGTGGTTGGAACTTGCTCGACAAAGCTGGCCAAAGATCGTTTGCCAACCGTTTTTCATGTTAAGTAACTGTCCATGGACCTCAAGCTGTATGAGAAGGAACTCAAAGCGAGCTTGCACCCAGAGATCGTTTATCAACCGTTTTTCATGTTAAGAAACTGCCCATGGACCTCAAGCTGCATGAGAAGGAACTCAAAGCGAGCTTGCACCCAGTTGTTAGCCGGTGTGTCAACAACAGAACATACTGCTGTTCGAGAAGCTTCTAACGCAACTGGACTACTGGGACCTGGAGGTCGCTAACCTTCTGAAATTCGGAGTTCCTTTGGTTGGCTTGCAAGAACCTCCGACTGAATACCAACGAAGGTTGGTGCCGGCCAACATGACGGAAGACGAGCTGACGGCTTCGACTAGATGGCGTAGAACCAGCATAATGCAAACTGACAGACAGCCATCCAAGAGCGAGGAAGATGCATTGTTGGACGCAACTGCTTCTCAAGTTGAGAAAGGCTTTTTGCAGGGCCCATGTTCTGCAGCTAAAACATCAGTCCTGATTGGGACCGATTGTTGGTCATTGAACCCGCGCTTCGTCCTGATTCAAGGAGTGAATCCAAAGGTGAGGGTCATAGATGATGCAAAGCAGAGAGCAGTCAATTCAGCGTATCCATCGGGAGTAAAGCTCCAATTGCAAGATGTTGATTACGCTACTGCAATGGTACTTGGGGCTAGGCGTGCAGCTGGGCCTTCTAGCTCTGACGCGTTGGAATGGCTTGGCAGGACCTTTGACCTCAGCAAAGCCTATAAGCAACTGGCTGTGCTACCCGATCGTTGACTCCATGCCATAGTTGGATTTCCCTGTGGAGGGAAGTGGCAGTTTTACAAAGGTGTTTCATTGCCATTACTTCTCACTATTTTTGATGATTTCCCAACGGGTGAGAGGTCGGATGGCTGTCGGGTCCTGACACTGGCTTTCAGCGCTTTGCTTGACTTGCTTGGATGGGATCACACGAAAGAAGGCGACAAAGCCCTCAACTTCTCGGCAACGTTTGACTTGCTTAGTGTAACATGTGATCTTAGCGTTATGAGCGTGGGCACCTTAGTGGTCTGAAACAAAACAAGTCGGATTGAACAGCTGTGTGCAATGCTGGATCAGGTGGCGAAAGACAAAAACATTCTGCAGCAAAGTTGAGTGAGCTCCAGGGACTTCTGAATTTTTGCGGTCGGTTTTTGCGGACTTGCATTCTCGCAACCGCTTGAAAGAAGCCATGGAGCGGTACTGCCTCGATGATAGTGGAATCGTTAACGTTCCCGCTGACCTGGTCAACGCTCTGCTGCAACTTCACAGAGCTCCTTACATGCTGCTCACAATAACTGGGGAAAATCACTGAGCAACATATGTGACAACTCACCGCTGTGAGATTCACACTATTAAATGGCATGACAGATCCAACCAACTGTCATATGCCATGCTTGGTGACCGAACAGAAAACTGTTAACTCCCCAGACCAACTTTGAGCATGCTGAGAGGAGTAAAAAGGATGCTTTGAGCGCTCACTTCCAAGTTCCATCAGCTTGAGTTTTTCCAATTGTTTTTGCTGTCCGAAATTTTCACAACGTTTCGTTGCGTATCGAGATATCATTTGCGGCGCATATACGTATATGTACCACTGATATATGTATATATGCGTACGTCAGTTTACGTGAGTTTTGTTTTGTGTAAGTTGTCCTATAATCCTGCGTAGCGCTTCCCCTTACATATTTGCCTGAGTTTGTTCTAATATAAGATGAGTGCTGTCACGTAGTGAGAGCACAATCTTTGTAAGAACAGTGCAAAATTTCTTTAACAACAAATTTTGCAACTCAGGGCAAAACAATTTTTATAAGGGTCACATCTTGCGCAGCATGTGTTTTCTGAATAATAATTTTTAAATGGACAACTCGCACAACCAAAACAAAACAACACAACCTTCCCTTGGTCTCAATCATCAATTCTCGTTCTTGTTGCATTTTTCGTATCAAGGGTGAGGTAGAGGAGGGTTAAAAAAACCTTTCTTCCACAACCAATTTTTCTTTCGGCCCACCCTCCCTTAACCCTTTTTGGGGGGGAAAATCACTGAGCAACATATGTGACAACTCACCGCTGTGAGATTCACACTATTAAATGGCATGACAGATCCAACCAACTGTCATATGCCATGCTTGGTGACCGAACAGAAAACTGTTAACTCCCCAGACCAACTTTGAGCATGCTGAGAGGAGTAAAAAGGATGCTTTGAGCGCTCACTTCCAAGTTCCATCAGTTTGAGTTTTTCCAATTGTTTTTGCTGTCCGAAATTTTCACGACGTTTCGTTGCGTATCGAGATATCATTTGCGGCGCATATACGTATATGTACCACTGATATATGTATATATGCGTACGTCAGTTTACGTGAGTTTTGTTTTGTGTAAGTTGTCCTATAATCCTGCGTAGCGCTTCCCCTTACATATTTGCCTGAGTTTGTTCTAATATAAGATAGATGCGGTAAGATGGGACACATCAGCTTCAACTGCCCTGAGAGCAAAGAAGGTAAAGGTTCCAAAGGAAAAGGTGCTACCTTTAGAAGCAAAGGCAGTAGCAAAGGAAAAGGAAAGAAAGGCAAGTTGAATGAAGTTTCAGAGGATTGGACCGACTGGACTGCAGAGAGTTGGGACGATGATGACTATTGGTGGCATGACCAATGGCCGGAGAGCTGTGATGGTCAATGGGGAGTTTCGCAGACATGGTGGGACGATGGTTCTGGATGGTATTGCGACGGGTATGGGTATACCTGGCAACAGGGACCAGTCCAAGGTGCGGAACCGAGTGCAAGCCACGACAATAGGTCTGATGTCCAAAAGACTGGCAGTGTCGGCAGCATGATCATTAATCCTTTGTTGTTTGACATGACATGTGAAACCACTGGAGGTCTTAGGTTTGTGCATGAGCAGGAGGTTGCTGACATGGAAACCGAGAATGGGCTTGTGGTTGATTGCAAAGACTTTGAAATTGAGTTGGCTGACACGGGTTGTGTGCTGGCAGAGAGCTGCGACAGCTGTACTCGTGAGTCAAAAGAAAGTGAACTGGCTGACACGGGTTGTGTGCTGGCAGGGAGCTGCGACAGCTGTACTCGTGAGTCAGAAGAAGAAGATGAACTGGCTGACATGGGTTGTGTGCTGGCAGAGAGCTGCGACAGCTGTACTCATGAGTCAGAAGAGAAAGATGAACTGGCTGACACAGGTTGTGTGCTGGCAAGAGGTTGCGACAGCTGTACTTGTGAGTCAGAAGTAGTGAGAAGTGAACTGGCTGACATGGGTTGTGTGCTGGCAAAAGGTTGCGACAGCTGTACTCATGAGTCAGAGGAAGTTGAAGCGGCTGACATGGGTTGTGTGCTGGCAAGAGGTTGCGACAGCTGTACTCATGAGCCATGGTTTTGTGGTTTGAAGTGTGGAGATGAAGTTGGACTTGGTGATAGTTCCAACTTAGAAACATGTTTTGTTAATGACCCCAGCCGAGACTTGTGCGCCACTGTACCGATGAAAGTCGTTTTGGTGCGTGCACATGATTGGTTTGACGACCACAGTGAGGTTTCGGTTGAACAGCAGATCGAACCTTATTTGGAGTTTTTGCGACCTTTGCTTTCACAGGTCGCTGACAACACCGATGCTTCTTGGTGGCTTCTTGACTCTGGTGCATCCACAAGTGTTTTGGCTGAATCGAACTTGTCAGCCTTCAGGTCAGTGCTGCAGGACAGTGAGGGATTAGGTAGTTACAAAGCTGCCAATGGATCCTCAGTCAACATGTCAGGCACTGCTGAGATTGGAGTTCAGATGCACATGTCAGGGACATCAGGTGATGATTGGTGTTGGAAGAAAGCACGTTTGAATGTTTTGGTGGGTTCCATCCGGCACAACATTTTGTCAATCACTTCATTGGCAGATTTGGGATGGAGATTCACACAAGGTCCGAAAGGTTTTGATTTGTTTCATGAGAAGCTTGGAATGCATTGTCTTGATGTTGCTTATTTCGCCAATTGTCCTTGGGTTCGTTTGTATCCAGATGTTGGTAGTAGTAGTGCGTACAGGTCTGACTTGACTGTGAGTAACACTCATGACTTTTCTGTCGCAGCTGTGTCTGGAGGAGACGACAATGAACTGGCACGTCACCGAAGACAGGGACATATTCCATTCAATCCGAACTGTTTGGAGTGTGCCAAGGGTCGTTCCGTCTTTCAGCACAGAAGAGACAAAGGTGACAGGAAAGAGGTTTCTATTCAGGCCGATTTTGCATTCCTCAAGACATCAGGCGAGATCGCCACAGACGAACTCCCAGGTTCGGTGAAGATCCTTGTGTTAACCGAGATGATGTCGAGGTGCATTGGCTATGTGGTGGTTGGAGAAGATGTCGAAGCAGCCAGGAGACAGATTGTTGTATGGCTTCAACATTTTGGGTTGACTTCGAAGGCAGTCTCCATTGACGTCCACACCGATAGCGAGAGGGCAGTGGGAGAGATCATTGGATCCTCTACTGGCCGATACACGTTCGCTATTCGGAGAGCCGCGCCACAACAACATCGATCGATTGGGTCGGCTGAGCGAGCAGTTAGGGAATTAAAGGAATCCTTTTCTGTACTAAGGGCTGATCTGAATGCACAAGGGTTGGATGTCACGTTTTCACATGAGAATTTGGTTGACGTTTTGACGTATTTGGCTTTGTGCAACAACCATTTTTCAACATCACGAGGTTCAGACAGAAGTCCATTGGAAATGGTGTCAGGAAGGAAGTTATCCAAACCAGTTTCGACTTTGTTTGGTGCTCAGGTTTTGGCAGAAATTCCTGATTCAATTCGGCAGCATTCACCACTTTCAACAAGGAATGTTGAGTGTACTTTCATTCACATGGGATTGGAACGAGGTCCAGTTGTGCAGGGTCTCATTCGTGTGGATGGCAAAGCTGAGTTGATGCGTTTTGTAGCTAGGAACATCAGGGCTATTTCACCTTTGAGATGGGATTTGAATTCGGGACAGGGTGTTTTGACTCAATTTGACACTGGGACTGTAGGTAGTAGACCCCAAATTGTGAATGACAGTGGAACTGCACCAGCTGATATGAGTCAGCTACCTCCTGAAGAGTTGCGAAAGTTGAAAGGCCAGAGTTTGCCGGCACCTTCACAGCCCAAACTTGTCTTGCCAGAGTCCAGCAGTGTGAAGAAGAAACCTGGTGAGCTGCGTTTGGCGCCAGCAGTGCCATTGGCAAGATCGAACGTTGTCGTGACTCCACAGGAAGTTCCAGTAGAGCCGTCTCGAGTTTCTGTCACTCCATCTCCTACGTCACCAGCAGATACTGCAGATGTAGCCATTGGTAGTCCTGAGAGTTCTGAAAGGACTTCACCTGACGTATCACGTTTTGAACCGACTCGTCGATGTCCAGCATGTGAGAGTGGCATGGAAGCACCTGGTATTAGGCACAACAAGGAATGTAGGAAGCGTTTTGCTGAGTTTGAGGAACAACGGAGAAAAGAAAGACGTGTTGAACCTGCACTCTCTCAGGAGAGCCCTGTAGTTGTACCCAGGTTGAGGTGCCAGTAGAAGAGGTCGATGATGAAGAATTGGTACCAACACCTGAGTCCGCTCGGCGACAGCCGGAAACACAGGTTGAGTACACTAGAAGGTTTAAAAGGAAAGCTGAAACCGACCGAGAACAGTTGGAAAGAGAAATCCGTGAAGATTCTGAGGAACTGCTTCAAACAAACATGGATTTTGATTGGTTTTGGGTTGGTAGTGGTGAGCCTGTGTTGGTTGCGAGTTTGGGTACA